ATTTGAACACGTCTGTATTTTATTTTCTATAGCATTTAAACAATTTATTGATACAATCTCGATTTCGCCAAAGCGTTAATTCTTTATCTCAAAACAGACTTATGTTAAAATTAGAATATTTCGGAATAAATGGAAACAAAATAAATAGTCATAAAAAATCAATTTCTAAAATGCTGTACAAAAATGTGTAATATTAGAATCATTATTTCACGTAACGCCAAGCAGAGCACACATTTTCGAACGGTTGTCTCAAAGTCCTTACAAATTCCTGGTATGCAAAAAGCCATTTACTTTCATTGATGTAAAAAAGGCTCTCAAGATATAAAAGTTGTTTATTAGACCATACCATAAATATACAGTGTCTATTTGAGCTTCCTATTTCAAAACTGATAAAATCTTGGTTAAATCTATTCAACTCAAAGCGAAAAAAATGGACTTTCAGCTTAAGACATCTTTAATACTACTAAAGACTAAGAAGATTGGATCTACCATCACTGAGTAAACGTTTTGGTTGGAATAGCGATAAGCTTAGGGTAAAGAGAAATTGTTCGCACTTTTTTCCCGCATTTTACGCATTGAAAGTTTCTGCATATTTGCATTTTACCCGTGTGTCTCCATGTATTTGCATTTTACCCATGTTTATTCCACATATTTTGCATTTTACCCGTGTCCACAATAGCATATCATGATATAAGTTGTTAATTTAAAAATGTAATAGCAGCACTTATGTATATTTGACCTTACCCATAAGCGTAGCAACTGCATTAAGATGCTTAAGCGCATTAAAACACATTTGAGGACAACAATAGCATAAATCACTCTGCACTAGACCTATTAGCTACTGAAGCAGAAATAGCAGCTCAATTAAATTTAAAACACCAGCTCAATTAAATTTAAAACACCAGCTCAATTAGATTTAAAACACCAGCTCAATTAAATTTAAAAGGTCTTATAGATCAATTTGCAGCTATAAAGACAAGAAAAAACTTTCTTTAGATTTTTTACTTACTAGTCTTGCATAGTGTAAAATACTAGTTTTTATTTTATTAAATCAAAATTGTATTTAAAAAAAAAAAGGATTTTTTTTTCGTGAATTAATTTTGTCGTGAAAAGGGTAAATAAATTCATGAAAAGGGGGGGAGGGGAAAGAAAAGTTTATAGGTGCCTAGATTAAAATTTTGCGGGGAGGCTTTTTTTTTGTCGCTACGCTACGGATATTATACCTTTTATGATATTTTCATTTAAAACTATGTTTTTTTATAAGATTAAAAATTTTTTTTTTTTTTTTTTTGAGCATTTGGTATATGTTATGGAGTAAGCAAAATTTTCTTTAATAAACATATTCTCAGCAGGAATCAACAAGTCCACTAGTCTATCCGGATTGCTCTCGCTAGTCTGTCCGGATTGGTCTTACTGATCCAGCCAGATTATCATTAAATACTAGTAGTCATGACTCAAGCGAGCATTTGCTCAAAAATGAAGCTAAAACAAAGCTCAAAAAAGTTAAGTAAAGAAAAAAAAAAAACAAGATCAAAGAACAATTAGATAATTTTGCCGAGGGATCAATCCTGTGCATCATGTGTGAGGTCAATGTTGATGATCCTAAAGATCTGTGACTTTAGCATTTTCCAGAGGTGGAAAAGTAAAAAAATGTCGAGTAAAAGTACAGTTACATTGTGCGTTACTTTTTTAACAGCCTGTCAGATAACAAAGCTGAAAAGAAACCAAGCTAAAGCAGTTAAAAGTCGTAAAGAGCGCGCTTAACATTTTTTTTTAAACAATTTAATAGCGTCATTTTTATTAAAGTAAGCAATACTCAAAAAAATAAAAAAATTAACTTATACTATTTGGGAAATTAAACCATACATAATAATTTTTTTACTGAGTAACGCATATGATTTCAAATATAGCAAAGTACAATACTTTAGAAAAAAATACTTATATAAAAGTAAAAATAGACATTTTAAAAAAGTAGAAATTCACTAAATTACTGCTCAAATACAGTAACGTGAGTAAATGTAATTTGTTACTTTCCGCCTTTGGCATTTTCATAGCTATCTGCAAAAGAGGCAAATAAATCTAACTATAAATATTTGTAATAAAAATATTTCTAACTTTTAAATATTTTATTTTAAAAATCCAATGTAAAATTTTTCTTAACCAGATCAAGAAGGTATTGCCCAAATTTAGTACATAAGTTAAATTTTCAAATCATGTTTTTTTTTTTTTAATTTATTGTTAAACATTTATTTTTTACATTTGAAGTTTGTTTAAATTTTTGTAAATAAAAAAAGTTCTAGCTGTATTTAATTGTTTTTACTTTTACTTAGCTATCAAAGTTTTTTTAATTTTTTTAAGTTTTTATCATAATTATAAAGTTTTTAATTTTGCATAGTTTATTTTTAACTCGAATTTTTTTTACTATCGATTTATTCGTTTCTGTAAAACAACGGGTTATGATACTCTTTAGTAAGTTTAGCCAGTCATCAGTGGATTTTGGTATGTGGCCTCCATAGATTTACCCAGAAAAAGATAAACCACAATATCAAATGATTCGTTACGCGTTGAATTTAAGTTAAAAAAAATTAAATATCAGTTCAATATTTTTATTTTTATTTTAATTATCTAGCATACTTTAACGTTTAGCAATAAAAAAAGTATGACTGTGGTACTCTGTAAGTTATAAGTGTAAATGAATATAGCGTATTTTAAAATTATTAGCTTTTTTTATACTGAGCATTCAAAATAAAAATATTTTTTATCTCAGGTCAGGACAGGCCCGAAGACACCGGGGGTAGGGAACTCTGCCCTCTCCCCACTATTTTTCTTAAGTTACTTTTTTTTTTTTAATTTCAATATATAGAGGAATTTAGAAATTGACAATAGCGCCCCATTACTTTGTTAAGAAATGTGTTAGTTAAGAAATTATCGAAACAATAGCATCGGTGCCTATTGTAATTGTAAATAACTTAGTGGAAGAAATGGTAGTCATTGATCGATACATGCTTATCCCCAGCAGTAACGGAGCAACAGGCCAGATCAAATTCATGTTTATTGAACTGAATAAAGTTTGCAACTAGGACATGTGATATTCAGTAAAAAAAATAGGAGTAGAATCAATAATTACATATTAGTTGCACCATATTTTAAGGTAACATATTTCTGAGACTGGACTATTTAAACATTAAATATTGACATTACAATAATTTTTTATATTACAATACAATAAATTGTATTATAAAGATGAATTATTTATTGTATTATAATTTTTATAAAATAAAAAACTAGTTATTGTGTTATTAAGATGAATTATAGTTCAATATTTATTGTTATTGTAGTGGGTCATAACAACACCTTTATTTTTCAGATATTATTATTGTATTATGAAGATGAATTGCAATACAATATATATTGTTATTGTATTACAGTATTAAAATAATAATAAATCACAAGTATTGTTAATGCTTCTAAAAAAGTTAGACAATAAAAAAAGAAAAAACAATAACAAGTTATTGTTTCTGTTATTGTTTCCATTTCAATTACAATAGGCCGAACTCTATTTACAACACTCTGGTAAAAATATCGTTTATATGAGCTTTATTTAAAATTAAATACTTTTTTTTTTTTTATTCAATAAATTTAAAAAATAAATTTATTGAACAATTATAAAAGTGAAGTAACCAAGGTAACCAATACATTTTAGGTGAAATAAAGCTATTAGTAATTGGGGTTTAGGGTATTAATTATAAAAAGCATTGCAGTTTTTGATTAAAATAAATTATCACTAAAACATGCTGTTTTCATGAAAAATACCTTTTTTTTAGTAGCTTTGAGCCCTTTGAGGCAGCTGAAGACATTGAAATTTTGAGAAAGTTTTTTTCACTTTATTTTAAAAAAATATTAAAGCACAACTTTTTATTGATATTACATATCAATAATTTACATTTTATATTTTCACCTAAAGTTTCACTGCACCTTACTACTACTTTTTTAGAAAAAAAAAAAATTTTCTAAAAAAGTGAAGAACTTTTTTAGAAAAAAGAAGAAGAACTTGAAAAACTTGAAGAACTTTTTTAGAAAAAAAAAATTATTTTCTAAAAAAGGTCTTCCAGCAAAATAAACTTGTTTAACATTTAACCAAGTGTTTCATTTGAAATCTTTTTGACGTTGCTCCTTTATATATGTGAAATTGAGAGACTGTTCATACGAGAGATGATTCAGATGAAATACGCAAATATGAAATGAAGAACTAATCATTAAATTTCCTTTCATCCAAGAACATACCTTATGGATTTTTTATATCTCAGTATATCTTAATGGATTTTTTGCTAATAGATTAGGAGTGATTTTAGCATTACATCATCATTTTGATCTAAGCAATTATGTAGAGATGTCATTATGAATTTTTTTTTTTTTTTTTTTTGTTTTGTTTTGTTATTTAGGTGCTCCAAGAAGACCAATCGGTCTTGTCACAGAGCACCACGAAAGTGCATTTAACCAGGAAGTTCACGCCTACTTCCTTACTGTGACGCAAAAATATGTCCAGAACTCGTTTTGAACTGCTTTTAAAGCAAGCGCTCTATCCACTGCGCTACGGTCGAATTCTACGAATAAGATTGTTAGGGTATTTCTAATGAATCAAAAAAAATTGAATATGCGCGTTCTGTTATCATAAAAATATAAAATATCTTTTTTTTGTTTTGTTTTTTTGTCCCAACAAATATTTCCACTCCGTTACCTGTAACTATATCTGTGAATTATTATTATTTTAGTAACAAATTCTATTTTTGTAAAGAAATGAATTGAGTATATACTAAACCATTAAACCAAACCAAAAAATTGAAACTTGATGTTGAAGAAACGTAATATGGTTATAAGTTGGTTATATTATTCATTATATTATTTTTTTCAATATACCATACTTTCCATACGTTATTTTTTATAATAAAAAATTATTTTTAAAGTATTTTTAAAAAATTAAATCTAAAAAAAATACTTACTTGATGAGTTATTTATTTTCCTGTGGCTCTATTGTAGTTGTACTATCACAAGGAGATATTGATCGTTTCTTAAGCTAAAAAGTTATTGTTGTTTTTACTTTTTTTTTCCTATAAAGCAAAGCTAAAAAGATTGTCATATTCATATAGTTCCTACTCTCTAATGTAGTTATTTTTTTTATTTAGTTAATAATATTCATTTAAAAAAATACCTTATCCTTATGTCCAATGTAAGTCAAAACTACTATATTAATAATACCAAGAGCCCCAATAAGTATACACACAACAGTAATCACAATATCTGCGTTTGACAAACCATCATTGCTATCTTCTTCATTCAGCGGTATTGGTTCCTTATTTAGTAACATTGGTTCTAAGTATATAACGTAAGAAAATGAACTGTTATTAGCTACATATTCTCTGAAGTTAATAATTATTTTCATGCTTCCACTTTTTACCCTATTTTCTATGTGATACAACACAGAATCTACATTACTCGAGGAAACAACTAGATTGAAATCAATGATAGTACTTCCTTTTGAAGTTTTACATGATTGAAATTGATTATTTGTAAAGTTCAACTCATTTTGGCAAGCTTTACAAACCATATAATCATCATTCGGATCATATATTTTTGGAAAACTAAAGTTACAATGAGCAATAAAAGAATTGGAATGTAAATTTGATTCAGCCGATTTTACTGATGAAGTTGCTGTTGGATTTATAGTATCATATGATGTAACAGGAAGTATTGTTAGAACTGGAATTTTCGTTTTACGAATTTTGGTTGCTGTAAATTTATCACTTACCGAAGATTCATTGAGTGTTTCGCTAAATTTTGAAGCTTCTTCGAATGTTAAAGAATTAGTTTTATACGTCATTGTTGTTTCGTTAAAAGTAAAAGATAGCATTTCCAGTAAAGATTTTTCAATTGTTGTATATTCATCGGTAGCTGAAGATTCATCAGGTATTACAATTGACATGTTCTAAAAATTGTTAGACATAGCTATATTTAAATTTTTGATTACATGTTATTTTAAACACGAACAATAAAATGGTTGTAGCTTTTTTTTTTGCGAGAATGTAGCTAAATAAATGTCTTTTATTAGTCTGCGTATTTATGGATCATGTATTGATCCTGTATTGATTTTAGTGATTTTGTATTATTGTATTCACCACTCATTATTGAATTAAAATCAAAAATACAAGTACTTAGGGGTTTTCCACAATTACGTCACGCAATTTTTTACCTTTTTTTTACCCCTTTCCTCCTTGCCCCTCCCCCCCTTCCCTTGTCACAACATCGTAACTTTTTAGTAACAAGTTCCGTATGGGTTGTCACTGTTCATGTGTGCATGCTAAATCAGTAATTAAAAATAGGTTTTATAATTAGTAGTAAGGTTTTTCATAAAGTTTTCACCAAACTTCAAACAATATTTTGTGTGTAAAATTATGCTAGAATATTGGTATATGGTAATAGATTTGAGCATGCTAGTCTTATAATAAGAGGAGTGAAAACAAAAAATACATATGAGATAAATATATTTCAATACATAATCTTTGTGAATAATTTATTTCTTATAACTTACAAATGTAACTTGTAAATTAACTAAAAATAAAGAACATAGACTAATATATCATATCTTAAGGACGGCTAAGATATAACACTTTTGAAAATAACTGCTTTAATGAGGCAAAATAAATTTACTTAAGTTTCTTATATTTTTATTTTTTATTTTATTTATTTGAGTTTTCATGCTATATTTTTCTTTATGTCCTTATATCCGAAGATATTGTTGGCTTAGCATAGGAACAACCACAAATAGTCATTAAGACTAATCCAAAGTAGCGTCCGTTATTGACCAACATTTTTGCATACCAAAGTACTACTCAAGCACTAAGTTTGGCGGTGGCAGGATTTGGTACTCAAGCGCTGGGATTTACTACTCAAGCGGGATTTACTACTCTAGCTCTGAGATGGCCGTGGCGGAATTATAAAAACAAAAGTTTTAAAATTAGGTGCCCACTTTGAAAATTAATATAAAAACTTTTTTATTATCTTTTTAATATTTTTATTAATTTTTTCTTTATTAAAGAGAGTTCGCTTAATTTGTGGTTTTTTATACTTACGAACAGCTATTTTTATATCTAATCTAATTCTTCTAAAAATATTTCTACAAATTTATTTTCCTCAAAATATCTAATCTGATTGAGCTGTACTTAACAGTTATGGATTTTGATTTCTTACTAAGACTGACATGTTGCAATAAAACAAACATGCTATGGATATTTCTTCTATTGCAATATCAAACGAGGTATTTCACTCATTAAACTATTTTTGATTTAAGTATGTAAAACTTTTATTCAAGTGAAAAATCTTTTGCAAATACATGATTAACATTTAGTTTTAAACATGGACCCTACAGATTTTCTTTTTTTCTTCCTTGAATTTTTCTTTTTAAAATAAAAAACAAATTAAAAAATAAAATCCATAGACTTTTTATCTTGCTACCCAATTATTTTGCAATTTCTTGTTGTAATTTTTTTCCAAAATCTGAGCTTTTTTAAAATAAAGAATCTGCGTGATTCAAAAAATGATCTGCTTGATTTTAAAAAGGAATCTGCGTGTTTCAAATAAGGAATCTACGTATTCAATTATAGAACAGTTAGGGCAATGAGTTATTGATTTAGATTATGTCACAGTTTAATACTAAATATAACTAAGTTAGCAGGTTTTAAATTTCACGGAATAATCTTTCAGAGATAAAAAGTTATGACCATATAAAATTTACAATCCCCTCACTTTGGGGAGACTTGAAAATTTATTTAGTCATAACTTTTAAAACCTCAAATATTATTTCATGAAATTTAAAACATTCCAAGCTAGTCAAATTTAGTAAAATATAGTAACAAATTCATTCATTAACTCATTGCTCTCACTGTTGGGCTAAGGGGAGTAGCGTTTTAGGGTATTTTTGTTCCCAGGCTCCAATCACCGCTGTTTTTTGTAAAGTATTATTATTTAACGTTAGCTACATAGATGTCTCCTCATTAAATCCAGGTTTAATTTTTTTCTAGAAACCTTATGTGTAAAGAATTCTTTGAAGTTTTTTACATCTTTGTTTCTGCTTTCCTGTGCTTCTTCATTAAACATACTAATAATTAAGGTTTTGTTGCGTACCTGATGAGTGGAATAACAATTTGTGTAAACACTATAATGCCATGGGTATGGATAAACAAAGCATTAAGCTTTTTACTTGTAATAGGTCTCTATACCCTCAGGATTTACCTCTTCCATACATGAGACAGTACATAGTATGATATACAAACTTTTGGTTAGTTCCTCGTTGATAACCAATACTTTAGCAGAAACAGAATAGTCTGATAATGAAAACTTTTTTATTTATAATTATTTTACAGATCATATATCATTTAACTTAAATTATAAAATTTATAAGGAAAGGTTTAATTTTAATTAAAAAGCATACCCTAAAAAAAATTTTAGCCATATTACCATTTTTGGATGTTCCAGATCCGCCCGATATAGGAATATTCACTATTAAACCTTTTTTTTTTTTGGATTTAGCTCCTGAAAAAGAACATCTTTGTTCTCTATAACATTCCTGAAACGTATTGGTTTACAGTACAAAGTTGATAAAGGCTTCTCATTAACCCATAGAATTTTAGATGTAGCAACTACATAAAGTTGAAGTGGTACCAATCAAGTCAGAAACAGATTTTCCTTAACAGAAGAATCTTTACAAGTACAATCTTCAGTTTTCTGTTTGTAACAGATTGTCCTGTACTGCCATCAAATCCAACTTTGCTAATTAGTAAAAATTTAGAATTTGGAGGACAAGTATTGGCAATTATTTCTATTATCCTCTTTATTGTATGGTTTAATATATCTTAAAGCCCTACCTCAGCTGATTAGTCCTCTACTTTTATTCTAGAGGCAGAGATGCAGTACTCATTTGCCTTTCGTACTGAATTACGCAATATTTGGTAATCATTCTTAGATAATTTGGACTGTAATAACAGACCAAGGGCTTCATTATTACTATAGCAACCACCCTGATGTACTACTCCATCATCTTTACTACTAAGTATTTCCTGCAATACCTAAGCATCTTTTAACCTTCCGTCTGTCCATAAAAGCTCATCTGTGGACTTTTGGCATATATTGTTATTTAATCACCAGGATTACCAGGTGGATCATAGGTTGAATATTTTTTACAGGATTGACATTGCCATCTAACCAGCTTTGGTACTTAGCCTCAAACCGCGTCCTAATTCTGTTTTTCCATCCATTTCTTTCTAAGATTGCTCATAAAATCCCTTTTAATCTTATCCAATATTTTCAGAAAATCTTTTTATAAAGTGTTAGCTAAAGTAATAAAGTATGCATTTAAATTAATTTCAACTAAAAGAATTATAACGTGTGGTATATCTATTACCACAAAGTTTTTTTTACATGAACAATTGTAAAAAATATGTCCTAAAAATGTAAAAAAACCTGCTAAAAAATTAAAAAACTCTGTCTTTTTGAATATTTATAAAGTTATAGGTAATGTATGAATAAATTTTTTCAAATTCTATAAGGATAGATTATTTTTAAATTAGCCAATATTTACAAGTTTTTCACGTCTTTCACACATATTTTAACAAATTTTTGACTTTAAAGCATCCTAAAATGTTTACAAAATCGATCAAGTGCATTATAAAGTAAACATTCATTGCCATTAACATATGCATGTTAATTGCAAATGATTAAAAAAGTCAATATACGACCTTTCGTTTTGACTTTTTTGCTAAAGTCTGGCCAACTGTGCAATGTTGAAATTAAAGCAAATTTATCATGGTTATTAGACTCAAAAATAAATTGTGTAAAACTGTTATATGCAATACAGACATAATGTTAGATTGCTGCAGCCAGAGTGGTTATCTGTCAAATACGTCCCACATATTTTCTATCGACATAATTTTATGTCTGAATTATTTTCTGCTGACATAAAAGACGATAGACATATTTCCTAATAATATATTTGGTCATTATTTTATGTCTGACATATTTGCTGTTTCATATTCTTAAAGAAAACATTAATGTAAGAAATTTATTGCGCATTTCAGCTTAATTTAAAGAGTAAAATGAAAGTAGTTAAAAAAATTTGTTGCTTTTTTGCAACTAATTATGCTTCATAAAACTTTTTATTTTAAACACTTCAAACAAACACCAGTTGTTTTATGAAGATCTTTATCTGTCCATTTTAGCAATTTATCATTTGATAGTACTGACTAGTATTGATATATTATTTGATAGTATTTGATAGTATTGACTAGTATTGATTAGCATCGGCGATTTCCCTTATTAGAACGTAATAACCATCTCAACTTAATTTTTACAACTACAAGTGTTTTTTATTTGTGAGACTAAACTTAAAATCTATTTTTTAATTAAAGTAATTAAAAAAAAAAACATTTTTATTTTTAATTAATAGTTGATTCTCAGAAGTTTCCGTGATGAAAAATGGAATCTCAAAAGTTTCTATGACAAATTAAGAGATACTGTAGAAAAACAATTGTTTGACTAAAATTTTTAGTAAAAAACAGTTTGATTTGTTGAGTTTATTAAACGAATTTTATTTTATAAATTAAATCCAGATATGTTTTTTAACACCATGGTAGAGCATAAAAAGTCATTTGAAATTCGAGTAAGTAGATGACTAAAAATCAAAAGAAACCCAGAAAAATCAAGTTCAAATTTTACGCTGGGGAACGCTGTACCATAAAATACTAGCAAGATTTCTCTTCCACTAAGTAAGAGTGTTGAATTTAACTTCTAATGTCACTCGCGCTTCATTAAGAGCCCATTTTAAATTTAGTTATTGAATATCTTAATCTGGTTCTGACTCGTGTCGCGCATCATTAATCTAACCATTTCTCTAACTAATTGATTTACATCAACTTCTAGCTTGATTCTTTTACTTAATTAAACCTATTCGTCGTTTCGATGCCTTGTAGCTGGAGTAGCTTCAACTAATTTAATTTCGACGGCTTTTTGTTTTTTCGAAGAAGGTTATCTTGAGGTTACTTAATTTGCCTTTGTAAAAATATTTGCACATTTGACGTTTTCCGCCTTCATAATTAGTTTCAAGTTGATTTTTTACTCGTTCATTCAATAAACTATTTTCCATTTTCGACTTTAAATCATAAGAAAAACGAAAAAAATTACCAAAACAAAATTATTCAAATATATATTTTACTCAAAACATTTTATACAAGTTTATGATAGTTAATTATGCAGTCATAAAGCAATTATTAATTAGTTTTTTGCTTATAATTATTATAATTATTATTACTGTAAGTATATTATTCATAATTAGTTATAAAGCATTACCTGTTGGTCTACTTAATCTGAATTTAATGAGCTGAATATAACTTTAGCGAAATAATTCAAGTTCAAGTTTTTGAAATTCTATAAACCGTTTTTCATATAGAATCTTTTGAAATTAAGTTTTTCATTGTGGAAACGTTTGAGGATTAACTGTTAATTAAAAAAATTGATAAAAAAGTGTTGTTGTTTTTATTATTTTAATCAGAAGAATAATTTTAATAAAAAATACTTTCAGTAATAAAAATTAAGGTTGAGTTTTTACATTCGAATATAGGAAATCGCCAATACTATTTAATACTAGTCAATACTATCAAATACTACCAAATAAACATCAATATTAGTAAATATTATCAAATGATACATCGCTGAAAAGACCAGAAAAAGATCTTTATGAAACAACAATGTTTGTTTGTATGCAATACGGATATAATGTTAGATATACAGTCATAATTTTTATTCTTCTAATAAATTTTAACTAATTTTAAAGCCAAAGAATAATATATGCTTTTATATGCTTTTAGAAAACATTTATTTTGCGAAGAAGAATAATTATTTTTTTATCTACGCAAAATTAATGTTTTCTAAAATATTTTTAGGAAACAGTAGTTGTTTTTATTAACGATTCTTTGTTTTAGTTAAACAATTTAATGTTGATAAACTTGTTTAAGAACAAGTCAATAGATAAAATATAATAAAATGTCTTTACCTGGCTTGAATAAACTTGAATAGAACTGAAGAAGGTTGCACAAGCTAAACGAAAAAATCTTGGATTTTAATTTTTTTCTTTAATATAAATAGTAATAAGTTAATTGTTTAAAGAAAAATTTATTAACTGTTTTTTAAAAAACTGATGAAAAAATGTTGCTGTTTTTATTATTAATCAGAAGAAGAGTTTTAATAAAAAACACTTTCAGTAATAAAAATGGTTGAGATGGTTTTTACATTCTAATATAGGAAATCGCCAATACTATTGATTTCAAACTTTACATGTGCAGTAAAGAATGATTAGTTTTTATTTTTAGATCTTGAAACACATTAGAAAACAAACTAGTTTTTTATATAAAGAATGGTTAGTTTTTAATTTTAGATCTTGAAACACATTAGAAAACAAACTAGTTTTTTATATAAAGAATGATTAGTTTTTCTTTTTAGATCTTGAAACACATTAGAAAACAAACTAGTTTTTTATATAAAGAATGATTAATTTTTATTTTTAGATCTTGAAACAAATTAGAAAACAAACTAGTTTTTTATATAAAGAATGATTAGTTTTTATTTTTAGATCTTGAAACACATTAGAAAACAAACTAATTTTTTATATAAAGATTGATTAGTTTTTATTTTTAGATCTTGAAACACATTAGAAAACAAACTAGTTTTTTATATAAAGAATGATTAGTTTTTAATTTTAGATCTTGAAACAAATTAGAAAACAAACTAGTTTTTTATATAAAGAATGATTAGTTTTTATTTTTAGATCTTGAAACACATTAGAAAACAAACTAGTTTTTTATATAAAGAATGATTAGTTTTTATTTTTAGATCTTGAAACACATTAGATAACAAACTAGATTTTTATATAAAAAATGATTAGTTTTTATTTTTAGATCTTGAAACACATTAGAAAACAAACTAGTTTTTTATATAAAGAATGATTAGTTTTTATTTTTAGATCTTGAAACACATTAGAAAACAAACTAGTTTTTTATTTAAAGAATGATTAGCTTTTATTTTTAGATCTTGAAACACATTAGAAAAAAGTTTTTTATTTAAAGAATGATTAGTTTTTATTTTTAGATCTTGAAACACATTAGATAACAAACTAGATTTTTATATAAAAAATGATTAGTTTTTATTTTTAGATCTTGAAACACATTAGAAAACAAACTAGTTTTTTATATAAAGAATGATTAGTTTTTATTTTTAGATCCTATCCCGTTCCCATAGAATTTCCTATCCCGTTCCCATAGAATAACGGATGAGTGGAAACTTACTTAAGAAACCATGTTTCAAGTCAAGATAAGTATCGATACACTCTAAAAAAACCCGTTAGAAAAAGCAACGGATTGCTTTTTTCCGTTAAATGAACGAAGTAATTCGTAACCAAAAACCTCAAAATTAACTTCGTAAAATTAATTATTTATGGATTCATTGGAACTTCGTTAATTAAACTGATCAAATATTCAAATCCGTTGAAGAACAACTGAAGTTTTTATTAAAAAGGGTTCATAAGATTTTATGAAGTGCTTCCTCTGTAGATTATATTTTTAAATTTTCTTTGTTTGAATTTGATTTGTCAATATATTATAGTACTTTATTGATAAATGATAATGTTTTAAATGCATTTTTTTAAAACCGCATTTACATCGTATATAAACGGTTTACTGCAATAAGTTTAATTTGCTATTTTTTAAATAGCTTCACATTTAGACTAAATGTGAAGCTATTTTAAAAAAGCGTGATTTAAATTGTGTTTATGCATGCCTTTATAATTTGCTATTTGAGACACGTTTTATGCTATACTACGCTGTTTAGTTTAAATTTAAATTTAGTGTTAAAGCTGTTTGTTTGTTTTTTCCTGTTAGTTACAGCTAAGTTAATATATTGCTTGTTTATATTCGTATAGAACTTGCTACTTTAGACATGTGGCATTCAGGCATAATGTATAAAGTATAAACTCTAATATTAATACTTTTAACGTGTTTGTTATCATTAAATAAAAAGGTGGAGACTCTTTTTTCTTTTATTCTTGACAACTATTGATGCGTATAAAAATTTTAGAACCTTTCAGTTAGCAGGTAAGGTTATCTTTTGTAGCGCATTTTTTTTTTTGTTTAATATAATAAGATGTAGAATTAACAAAATAATATAATTTTTATTAGCAATTTAGAAATAAAGAGTTAGCAAAACATATTTTTGACTGCCCCTAAAACATTTTAAAGTTACGCTACGTCTCAATTGGTTACAATTAGTCAAAAGGTTACATTCTGTAACTTTTAATTAAACCCCTATAGCATTTTAAAGTGACGTAACGTCTCAATCAGTTATAATTGGCAACAAGGTTACACTCTGTATTTTTTAATCAAATATTAAGTGAATAAACTTGACAATGCAGTAATATTTTGTTTACTATTGCTGTATTGCTAAATTCTATCTTTTATTTTAACTTTATTGAAAAACAGCTTCGTCTCAATTGGTTACTTTGTCACGGAAAAAAATAAAGTCTAAATACGCAACGCTACGTCTCAATTGTTTTTTGTTTTTTTTATAGCTTTATAAAGTGTAACCAATTGAGACGTAACATAACGTAACTAAATCTAGATTTGAGACGTAACTAAAATACGTCTCAAACATAGATTTTTTTTAACGTTACGTTACGTCTCAATTAGTAATCCATTCAAAAAAAATAACGTAATGTAACATAAAAAAAAAATTATGTTTGTAACATATTTTAATAACATTTCAATTTCTAAATATTTTACGTTACGCTATGTTTCGGTTGGTTATACTTTTAAAGGTAATAAGTACCTTAAATTGCCTAAGTACCGTAAATTATTTTAATTTTTAAATTACTTTTTTTTTTTTAGGTAAATATAACTTTTAAAGCTTTTAAATTTGTATTTACCTTTAGGAAGTCTTTTTTAAAAATAAACCCACAAACGTGGGTTAATTTTTTTTTATTTTTTAAAAAACGTGTTACTGCGTTTTCAATAATCAAATACAAAAATAATAATTAAAAGATAAATAATATTGTAGATAAACAATTCTGTTAAATTTTTTTTTTTTTTCATCTTCGCTTCCAACAAGACTGCAAGCAACCACTTATTAGTGTTGGAAGAAAAAAGAAAAAAAAAAAAACTGAAAGAGAAAAGATGAAGATCGTAGAGCAAGATAACGATTGACAGACGACTTAAAAGATTGTAAAATATATGAATCAGGAAAGCAAGATGAAGGAAGCGAATTCCTAAGAACTAATGTTTGAGGGGAAAATCTACACAAATAAGAGTTTTTGCAGCACTTAGGAACAGTAGCAGAAAAAGGATGAGACTTAATTGAATGACGAATTACACGAGAATAAATTTTAGTGGATGGCACAAGAGACGCTAGCTCTTCAGAGCAGTGCCCATGATAGTATTTGTAAAAAAGAGAAAGAGAAGTAACATCACAACGATGTGACAAAGGTTAAAGGTTGGCTGAAAGAGCAGGTCCAACTATGTTTACAATGCGTTTTTGCACCTTGTCTAAAAAAAAAAGGGTATCATTAGAAGATCTCTCCCCCCCCCCCCTCCTCCAGATATGGCAACAGTATTCTATACAAGGACGGATTTGAGATTTATAAATATAGAGAATAGAATCCAGAATTAGAAAGTGTCGAGCTCGATCAAGAGATGCAACTTTAGCAGATGCTAATTTTGCAACGGATTTGATATAAAGTTTCCAAGAAAGATCATAAGTAAGAATTAATCCTAGAAGATGAAGTGTAGATGACTCATCGAGTACATTACCGTTCATAAATATCCGTAGGTCTAAATTATTGCGATAATGATTGTCTGAAAAAAATTGAATTTTATCTAAATTAAAGTTCACCAGCCACTGTGAGCCCTGTAGCAGAAGTGAGATCCTTTTCAAGTTCAAATGCCACCTGTAAGCAATCAGAGGGAGTTATAATATAAATACAGTAACTCATCAGTTACGGTATTTAACAATGTGTTTGTCGAGACATTTGTAACTAAAAAAATTTTATTTTAAATTGATAGTTATCATTGTTTATTTTAACTGTAAAAAAAAAAAAGTTTTAATTCGCAAAGTTAGGGATAGTCCATTAAGTATATACGCTTGGAGGGGAAGAAGGGGTCTGCAAATAGCGTATATGAGATGGGAGAGCAGTGGATCAATTATAAAAGAAAGGAGACAATAAATTTAAAAAAATATCATAACATGTTATATAAATAGGTTACAAGCGTAGGTACTTTTAGGGAGGTGGAGGGTATTCAAAAAAGCGCTTTACGAAATTCGGGCCGGGGAGGGGGGACTACGAAAAATAAGCGTACGTACTTTATGGGCAACCCCTTACATTTCAATTATTTTATATTAACTTATGAAAGTGTTACTTTTAAAAAGTGTAGACTTAAACGTAACTCAACGTTAAAAAAATTTATATTTGAGATGGATTCTAAGTACGTCTCATATCCCAATTTTGTTACGTTACATTACGTTTTTTTTTTTGATTAATAATACAATCGTAATACCTTACACGTTTTTATAAACCTACAAGCAAAAATGTATATAAAATGTCAACCTTTCTCATGAAATATTTAATTCATTACATACATTAATAAGCTAAAGCTTATTAATGTATGTTAAGTTACATTACGTAACGTAACTTTCAAATGTTATAGGGGAAAGATTAAGTAAAATAACTTGATAACGCATTTAATTTTTGTTTATATTCCCGTATTGCTAAATATTATCTTTTATTTATTTTTTATTGTAAAATAACTTCGTTTTTATTGGTTACTTTGTCATAACAAAGCTCTTTGTTTCAATTGGTTTCTTTGTCAAAAAAACGAGTCTCGATTCGCAACGTTACGTCTTAATTGTTTTTTATTTCAACTTTTTAAAGTTTAACCAATTGAGATGTAACGAAACGTAACTAAATCTAAATTCGAAATGTAATTAAAATACGTCTCAAACATAGATTTTTTTTAACATGACGTTACGTCTCAATTAGTAACTCTTTAAAATAAACT